ATACAGAGACAATTTTGGTAAATTAAAGTGATTTTATGAAGAAAAAAAGGCTGTGCCATTGGTCTATACTCCTCTATACTGAAGCCATGCATTCAGTGTGCAGAACATAAAATACATAGTATTTGCAGAAAATGAAAAGTCCATCTACCTTTTGAATTCCTCAACTTTATCCCCCAAGTTGCTTCACCTATATAGAATTCCTGTAGTTAATGTGTTGTGGTAAGACACTTATAAGTCTATAAGTATATTTGCAGGAAACTTGGCCATCTTCATTGAGTCCAGGGACCCATATTTAGCTTTGGGTGGCAGGTGAAGTGGTACTTGCCTAAACAGCCAGCCTAATATCTGTTTGGATGTCCAAAGCTTCTTCAGAGAGAGAGATGTGCAGTTTGAGCAACATAAAGGCCGGACAGAAGAAATTCACAACAGGGCTTCAAGGAAGAAGTCATACACCCACTGACCTTGGCCACCTTTCACCCCAAACTAAGTTAGGGCCTATTTACACCAGTGTGCTGCGATAATACAAGTGTTACGTGCTGCAGTGCCATTGATTCCTAACGCCACCCAACACTTCTTCCAGGTACAACAAAACACTTCTGTGCGTTGCACTTCCTATAAAATGCTGCATGCCTGATTTCTGGTCCATTGTGGTGTTAAAGGAGAACTGAGGCGAGTGAAAATCACTCAGCCTCATAGTTCTAGCCGACCTGTGGCAATGAAACTGTCACAGGTCGGTTTAATAGATCGGGAAGTGAGCAAACACATACCGTCGCTCGCTCACTTCTCGATCTATCCCTGCAAAGAGCCGTGACTGTTGCTCACGGCCCCCTGCAGGGATTTCCCCCTCCCCTGTCCAATCCTCCAGCACTGACAGGCGGATGGGGGAGGGGGCAGGTACAGCTGGCTCTGCCTCTAGATAGGCAGAGCCAGCTGTCAATCACTCAGCTGGGTGGATCTCGACAGTAATGTCGGGATCCGTCCCAGCTGTAGCTTGCGGTATACTGAGCTTTGGGTGACGGGAGGAAGCTAGTTTGTGTTCACCCTTGATCCTTAGCAGAACTATGGGGAAAAGCCCTGACCCCATAGTTCTCCTTTAAGCAGCCCTAATGTAACTTGTGCATTTCACACACTGCTGTGGGCTGTGCTGGTGTGAATGTGCTCCTAAAGGAGAACTTTGGGGTCAGGGCTTTTCCCCATAGTTCTCCTAAGGGTAATGGGAGGACACAAACTAGCGTCCTCCCGTCACCCTAAGCTCAGTATACCGCGAGCTACAGCTCGCGGTATACTGAGACGCTGAAGCTGATCCAGACATAATCTGAAGCTGTACCCTCCCCCGTCAGTTCCGCCAGTCAGCGCTGGGGGAGGGGGGAATCCATGTGACAGGATCGAGAAGTGAGCAAACGCCGGTATGTGTTCGCTCACTTCCCGATCTACTGAGGTGACCTGTTTCATTGTCACAGGTTGGCTAGAACTATGAGGTGAGTGAAAATCACTCACCTCATAGTTCTCCTTTAATAACCTTAAAGCGTAAATAGAAGGGGGAAAAAATGTTTCCCTTAAAATGAACCTGTCAGCACTAAACATTCAAAAAAATATTTTCTATTGAGCTTACCTAAACCAAAATACCGCTCTGCTGCAAAATATACATAACCATGTAACAAATAAGAGTCCAGTGAGTGGAAACAGTGCACATAAACAAACTTTATTGAAATGTTACAATCCACATGCGTTTATAATCTTGTACGTTTAGCTACGTTTTACAGGTGGAGTGGATTGTGACATTTCAATTAGAAGTGTTTAGGAGAGCTGTATCTACTCCCTGTATTTTTGTTATATATCACTGAACCTGTCAAAGTAATAACATTTAAGAGCAGACATTAAAAGATAGGTAAGAACCTGTAATTGTGTCCAGATCTTCTTTGTAACTCAGGATCCCTCCAAACCTCGGAAGTCAGTAGAGCAAAGATTGTATGAAGCATTATAAGGCACAGCTGAAGATGCATGCTGGCACCTTGTGGTCATGGCACCTATCATGGCCTAAACATGGTCTTGCCTTTGCTGATTTTTTTTTTTGTAAAAGTGTACAGTGTACATTGTCTGGCTGTCCTGCTGATTCAAAGGCTTCAGTATTAAGTCACTGACCCAGAACAGCATGTGAAACCAGAATACCTAATCTATTTGTGTCAACATATTAAAAGGCAGAAACCAGCATTTTTAGGAAGACAGCAATGGTAGCCTACATGATTTTCAAGACTGGCTTACTTTAGGGCCCGTTCACACTATTTGTGGTTACTAGTCATTGTTAGGGCACATAACTATTTTTTTTCTATTTGTCCTATTCATACCACAATGCAGATGTGATCTGTGGTGTGGAAAAAATTCTGCTGCATTTTTTTTTTTCCTCAAGGCAGCACAGCGTAGTACACCGCACTACTGTGCATGGACGTGAATTGAGTGTACAGTTTTGTACACTCCAAATAGTTAAAAACCAGAATGTTTTAATGCACTGGTTAGTGTAAATAGGCCCTTTAAAGAGCATATATTGGGGGGGATTTATCAAAACTGGAGCTGACAAAATCTGGAGCAGCTTGCATGCAAACCAATCAGCTTCTCGCTTTCATTTTCAAATTTTAACTGAACAGAGAAGCTGTTGGCTGGCGTGGGCTCCAGATTCTGTTCCAGTTTTGATAAATTCCCCCCATTGTGTTTTTTGCTTCTTTAGTCAGGTGAATATTTCATATTTACCATATTCAGCCAGAGGATGGAGCGCCGCAGTCTGTGGACTTTAAACTTTACTCCTGTTCTATCAAGAATGTGTATCCTAATTCCCTGCTCGGCAGCCCTCTTCATAAAACACACCGCTGAATGAGATGCGTCTCCAGTTTATATGAAGTGAAGTATCCATTTTAAAGCGTTCAACAGTGATCAGCTAGTGCTCGACTGTCTTCTTGGAAAACGCTGCATGCTCTTGGATCACAGTGTCATAACAGCACCCTGCAAGTAGTGCAAAGAGGGACATAATGACCCATTTATAAATGTGAACACTAAAAACCATTACTTTCCTTTTAAGAGCTGATATTGGTTAAGGACATTTCTGTGACAGGTTCTCTGTAAGCCACTAGCTGCTTTGATGTGCTTTATAACTTATGGACTCATTCACAGTACACCGCTTGCGGTAATACACGTTACGGCAATGCATGATAGTGCACTATATGTGTGTTGCCTTTCATTCTTAACTGCACTACAATGCACATAAAGAGATGTGATGCAAATGCTCTGAGCGTTGAAGTTTGCTGTGTTGTTAAAAACCCCCATTAGTGCAGGACCTATTTTTCATGCATCGAGGCGTGAAATAAATTTGCTGCTGAACAATAACGCTTGGTGAGAATGAGCCCTATAGGCCATGAGATTTAGATCTCTACACAATGACCACTTTCTCCTATGGTCCCTTATTCCAGTGCGTCCCGCCAGCAATATAGGGGCCCCTGTGGCTTAGTTTATGTTTTTGGATAAAATGTGTGACTGCTCCAATCAAATATCTGTATTCAGTATATATTTGTACACTTCATTCTAAAGCAAGACTGAAGAAAACAAACGTTACTTGCACTTAAATAGTTGGCCAGCATCAGATTATTGTATGGTGGCTTGCCCCGTCATTCACAGTATAAATATATTTGTTGGTTTTACGACTCCCTGAGGCCAATACACCTGTAAAGTGCCCTAAGCTGAATTCAGGGAGCTTTCTGTGTCTGCCGACAAGTCAATTTCTGTAACACTAGGCTCTTATTGTTTGTGAGGAAAGAATGATTTACTTTAATCTTTTGTCTAGCTGGTTCCTATCATGAAGCAAACATATCTGGACTTTTCCCTTTTCTATTTCTTCCTCCCTGTAATTTCCTACATATGAAATGGAACTTTTGAGTAAATCTAACTGTGACTTTGAATTCTACTTGTGTACTGTCTAATATGTGGGTTTCTTAGATATTTTCATGCGTTATCAGGGCATAAGAGTACCTTCTAGCTGTGTGAGCTGATTGGTTTACAAATTCAATCCTATTCAATGTTTGTATTTAAAGCAATGTGTTTTTTTTTCTTTTCTTTTTATTATCTTATTGCCCTGCAGATTACATGGCCCACACCTGCGAGAGCAGCCTGTTGTTTTTTTATGAATGTTCTTTTTTGACATTGCCTTTACTTTCAATTTTTTTGTTTTAAATCCTGGAAATATAATTTATTCATAATTTCCTTTTGTATTCGGTTAGTTATAGAAGCTCAGGAAAGCTGTGTGTATTGGACATTTTTGCAATATGTTTCTTGTGCTGTTTAGAAAGTTGGGTTCCATGCCTGACGCTGGAATGTTATCAATTGATTACAAAATAACTTAATTTAAAAAAAAAATGAACAAACTATGAGCGTGAGTTTATATTTGTTTCTTTACTACCAAGCTTCATTATCGCAATAGTGGAATTTTGATAAAACAAATGTACTAAGTTTCTATATTCTAAGGATGAAGAAGTCTCTTTCAGGTGAACGTTGGTTCAATCACTTGTCTTTTTCTAAGGATCACCACCAACCATCTTCCCCTACATTGCTGCAACCTGACACACCAAGGCTGCATCGTTTGTACTTGGGGGTTCGGCTAGCGTGTTTTTGTCTTATTTTTTAAGCGCACATAAAGATGCACGTTTTGACTGGCAGCATTTTAAAAAAACATTGCAGTCAATGGACAAATACGTGTAAAAACACACATGAAAATGTGCAATATGCTTCTGACACGCATTTCCATTGAAGTCTAGAGGCGGGGAAACGAGCTGCAAACTGCTAAAAGGAGCTCATGCACTTTTTTTTGTGTGTCTGGTGTGAATAGGGCCCATTGAAAATCATGGGATTTCTTGTGTTTTGGTGTTTTGAAGCACTTTTTCCACTATTTAAAAACACCTAGGTG